TCAGCAATAGAAAAACCAGTATCGGTCCACCTCTACCTCACATTATAAATTTTAGTGATGGGACTTATTGATGTTTGAAGGGAGCCATTCAGTCGCGATCCATTAAAAGGCTAGCACTTTGAACATTTGAACGGCTTTTGAGGTCTCCTCTCCCGCGCCGTCTACTTCTTCTACTAAATTTTCAGACAAACTTCGTTCTTGAAATCCCACCTCTTGATGACTTAAAGATGCCAAAAAGGAAATGCATGGTTCACTGCAAGGACTCAATTTTCATTGTTCACATTAAAGAACTGTTCAAAAATTTCAATTCGTGCGTGAACGCCACATCATAAACTAGCATTCATGAATCCACCAATCGTTGCTTGTGACGGTGGAAGGCTGTTGTTGACTTAGCATCCAAATTAGAGCAGAGTGTCTCAGTTTGGAGAAGCTAACAGGTGGCATTAGCAACTTCACAACCTAGCAGAATATGTTCCTATTACTACTAAACTTTATTTATATAGCACCTTCACATGGCCCAAGGACCAAACAAAGCACTGCACAACAGACATTAACATAAACAAATAAAAACATATAAAACCATTTAAAAACCAACAAAAACATGTAGATAAAATCTAGGTTCTGACTTGTGTTCTTTGAGGAGATAAAACATAGTGTTGCAGAATGAACGGAGGTGGTGGAAAAGTTGCATTGCTGTTAATCAGTCAGAGGAGAGTTGTCTGGATATCGCACGCATGCACGCAATGCACGCACACACACACACACACACACACACACACACACACACACACACACACATGCACGCGCGCAGGTAATATGCATAATGTCTGTGTCAGCAGACAGGAAACCATAGCTCATACATTAGTGATGAGCTAAGTCATTGATTACATGTAATGACAATAGGTGTGGGGAAAGGAGAAAAAGTGTTGATGTGTAACTTTATGTAGTGTGTGTGTTTTCCCAGCAGGCTGCAAAATGGGTCTGGAATATGTAATGTCCTCCACAACCCTTTAGCTCCATAGATGTTCATAAGACATGCAATTAGACCAAACCCAGAGGTAAAATTCTGCAAACTTAGAGAAGTAGATCGTTTTAACTTCATTTACTCAGTGGTGTCCTTTAGATTTTTGTTAGCATGCAAACGTGAAATTAAAATGAAGCTTAAGAAAATCACTTTTGCATGTTGAATTACTGCATAGTTACATGATTAAACAGTAAAATAAAATTGTAATGAAAAATAAAATCAGATCTATTGTTAATTTTTACATTTTCCTAATTTCTATAAAATCCTTTTAAAGGGTTTCAGACCTCAACAACATTCTGAACCTTGTAATTAAGGTTTTGTCAGATGATGCTGTGCTTAAATCAAATCAGAGTTTAGTTACAGATCACGAACCCAGTGGTGCTTTGAACTCGGCTGCAATAAAAATGAGTAATAATTCTTCGATTTTCTGTCAAATAGTTCTTTGTTTTCTTAGAACTTCCTTGTAGAAAAGAAAATATGTGAATAAGCTGGCAGAAGTCAGACTGCAATACCTGTAATCATAACATAGAAAACCAGTAATTAGCAACTCTTTTCTAGAAGATCTTATCCCATAAAGTGATAAATAAGTCAATTAATCTCAGAAGTTTAGGTCGAACACTGTCACATAAACTAAACCTAAAAGCATTTGCTAAAAAAAATTAAGTCAAGTTGACTTAATTTACTAAATACATCTAGAAGAGATGCTGCTGATTTAAGTTTTGTGCATCAAATTCCAAACAAATGTCAAAAGTCATCTAGATGGTTTAGAAATACAAACCTGCATTCTGCTCCGAACTATCCGAATGCTAATTAGACTTTTTCTTTTCCACCAGAAAAAAAAACAAGTTTCTTTGAGAAATGCATAGCTGCATACCCTCATGTGACCTGTTCAGATACTTTATTTTCCTCAAGATTTAAGAAAAAACCTATTTGTGCAGCATGTATTTTGACTTATTAGATCATAAAATGCCTCAGTGTGGAGATAAATATTAATGAGTCAGTGACTCGTGATGATGGCTAAATTGCCAAAAAAAATGCAAAGCAAAAAGAAAACTATGGCGCAAAAAAGTGCTGATGTATTATTATGAGCTTTACTTAAAAATTAAATTAAAACATTTAAAAAAATAATTTTTATCACTTTATTTTGTTTTTATAATTAATCACAAGGTTCTGCTAAATTATTATTATTAAGTAAAAAAACAATGAAATAATTTAAATTTTATGGTGTTGGTGTGTACCAGTCCATAAAAAAAACTGTTCATTCATATGTTCATTTCCCTTTTTCATAAACAAATGGTTGAAGCAAATATTTAGGATAATGATACACATTAGAAGCTTTTAAAAGCCAAGTTCATTGACAAACAGTGTTTTACTTGTTATTTATGAAATATTATCGTCACTTAGAGTTTTGCATGCAGGCTAAACCTGAAAACAGTCTTTAACCAATATTTTCTGCATTAGTCGCCGAGAGAAAATAGATGGGGAAATGCTTGGATTAGAAAGTCTGTTAATTCTACGTCACATTGAAAATTAGAATATGTGGACTCCCCCATCTTGGCTCTGTTGTTGATTTAGGGTTAGGATTAGCATCCGGGAGAGAGCAGAGTGCGTCTTGGCTAGAGTTAGCTAACCATTAGCATTAGCAGCTCCCCACCATGGCAAAACTCCTTCAGGCTTGAGTTATTTGTGCAGATAAAACATCAGTGTTGCAAAGCAAAAAGTGAGTGTTAGAATCACGTTGCTGTTAGCCAGCTGTTAGCCACCCTTAATATATTAGTTAAAGACTGAAATAAATAAAAAATTGTTAATTCTACTTATTTTATTTATTCACAAAGGGAACTTTCAATGAAATTCAATTCAAGTTTATTTATATAGCGCCAAATCACAACAAGAATCGTCTCAAGGCACTTCACATGCCAGGAACCCAATTATAATGTGTAGAACTTGCCTAAAAATACTGGTTCAGCACTGCCAGATTAAATATTTCATTTAATTAACAAATAGAACTATTGTACATGTTGGCCTAAATATCTGTTTACAGTTCCAGCTTTCCAATTTAATTAGTTACAGTTACAGACACACTTACATTTTCAGCGTGTCTAAAAAAATCTTGAGCAACAGTGAAGGCCAGTTCAATTCAGCTTTTGTAAAACAGAAATAAGCTTTTTATATTGCTTTTGGTTGAATCCATTTTTATTTATACTTATGTTGCATTGTGCAGCAGTATAGCTCAGAAGGTAAAGCAGGTGGAAGGTTGCAGGATCGATCCCAGCTGTGACATATGTGTCCAATTTATATGATTATTTTCTTGCTTAGAAAATTGGGTAATATTTACTAATAAAAGTCAGTTAGATTTAACCCAATTCCTTTAGGTATTTCTTAACTTTGAATATAAGATGCTATTTTAAATCATATTTGTATAAATTAGTTTCTCAATTTTATTGGGTAATTTCAGCCGGCCAATCAGTCCGCAGTGTTGCCTCGGTCCCAGTCTGACCGCTGGGGAGAAGGTCTGAGAAAAAGAGTCGCCTCGGCACCAAAAACGCAACTCTGACCTGTGTGTGAAACCAAACACTGGTGCCGGTCAATACCTTTTGGGGCCATGCCGACGCTAATGTTTAAGCGCCGTGATTAGCTACGTTTAAAACAAACCTTTATAAAATGTTCATTTCAGTGCTGTTGCAGGATTGTTTCTTGGAAGGGAGCCCATGGGTGTTTTTCTACTGGATTCCAGAATCATATATTATCATTATGTTCCATTTTTCTATGCCTTTCAAAAGCCCGCAGACTGAGAAAAAACAGTCTAAAGAGACTTTAGTTCCTGAAAATACACTCATGGACTCGAGGTCTGCTCTGACCTTTAGCTGCACAGCACCTCTCCTCCGCTGCTTCTGTCTCATCCCTCTCATTTAATCTGCCTCCCTCTCAGCTGGACTCCACTGTGCAGGGGCTCTCTCCCCTTTATTATACCATGGGCATGATTATCTTGGTGAAAGTTTTTTTTTTCTCAAACCCTGCTTTGTGTGCACAGACACACACAGATATGAGCCGTTACACGCGTGTACACACAATTAGATCACCGCAGCATGGCAGCCCACCCCGGTGTCACGGTGTCAGCTCAGAGTCGGGTCGACATGATAAACAGCATGACAAATAATAAAATAAAGAGAGTCAAGGAGCTTTTTAGAGGTGACGTTTCTAGTTTTAAAGCAGCCACTTTTGATTTTCTTCATCTGAATGGTTAGCCTCATTAGCATTCAGAGCAAAGGTTTACTAACCATGTATTCCAGGTAGCTGCTGTGTTAATGTAATCCTTTAATTGATGCGGTTTGTTTAAACACCTCGCACGTCTGATCAGGGGCCTGAGGAAAAATAAAAAAACAAGTAAAGCCACAATGTGTGTGAAGGAGAGCAGCAGCGGCCTCTGCAGATGGATGCTGATTAAATATTGATGGTCAGCAGTGACGAAGGCTTGATTAGGACCTGAGCAACCCCCCCCCCCCCCCCCCCCCACACACACACACAGTGAACAACCTTTTCTCCACTACGAGTTTTCATTACGCCTTCAGCTCGTCACCCAGGCAGTTTCTCTGACCACACACTCAAAACTCCAGCATCATTCTCCTTTTACAAATGAAAATGCGTTTAAGGTCTCGAGTATTTAGCAGCAAAAGTCTGTTATTGTGATGTTTCACTCCCTGGCTTGTGTTGATCGCCCACCAGCTGCACCATAAACACAATGACTCTGAAGATAAAATTACTTTCAAACTCTGCGTGGAACTCCACAGCAAACACAGCCATCTCTCACACACAAAGGCATTTTGAGGAGTATTTTAAAGCTTTATAATAGCACACAGTGTTATGTAAGCTTTGTGAGACATAAGGAAAACACATTTTGTCTAAAAAAATGATATGTTTGCTCAAAGAAAATGGTGCACAAGAGTATTAAAGTTTGCTCTCTCTCCTTTTGTTGCAGTTACTCTCTTGGACTCCATGTCAGCACTGGCCGACCTCGGCTGGGAGGCTTATCCTAACGAAGGGGTGGGTATCTGCATTACACACACACTCGCAGACACACATACAAACAAACATCCTCGTCTCTGTGCTGGAGCTGGCACTGAAAGTAAAACTTAGCTCACAGCGAGCAGGTTGTGTTTCCATCCTGGAAACAGGATTCTTAAGCATTTCCCACTAAGTCTGGGAGTCTGCAGTGGGAATTTACAAATTATTTCTGCTTTGCTGAAAGTGAGATG